TTGGACCTGATACTTACATCAGCTGGGAGAGCACAGTGATTGCATTAATTTGGATATTTTTGCCATTATAAATGCATCAAGATCCCCAGAACCACCTAATTGACAAATTATATTGTGACTAAGTGGGATATTGGTACATAAAAAGATTACACACGTTTTCACGTTGTTCCTACACAGGACACATCCGCTTTGCACATGTAAATATTGTGGCATGTTAATGAGCTCATCATATGCAAATATACCAACCGACCGGTTTGTTCACTCCGCTGCTGCCCTCAGGGGAGTTTCAACAAATTTCAGTGAAGCTGGAGATCACAGTCTAATAAACACACATTCATATACTGCCTCATAGAGAGACCATGTCTAATTTTGAATATATCCAGACCTCATGTGACTGTTTTCAAGTATCCTGTTGTTTCTCCACATCACTTTGTCTAATGACTTACTTTGGTGTCTGGGATAATCTACAAAATTTGAACATTTAACCAAGCCAATACTGCCATTTGGATCTATAATTTCAGGTTTATAATGATTGGAAAAGGAAATGCGAGGACGAGACGAAACGTTAGGAGTCTTAAAGTAAAGCTACTGAAAACAGCATAACCAATTCCACACGAACTACATTACTACGCATGAGCTGCCTGATTTGATTTCATATCTAGAGCACGTACATACTATTCAGATACGCAGTCATAAATGCAGGTGATGCACCCATCTGTTTACACATTGTTTATAAACATCAGTATTTAAAGTGCCCCTATTATGCCATTTTTTAGGTTGCTAATATTGTTTTGGGAGTCTCCTACAATAGGTTTACATGTATACAAGGTCATAAAATGCTTTAGTTTTATCACAATATGCTTTTAATATAACCTTATTTTCCAATGATTCTCAAACGATTCATTCAAAGCAGTTCTAAGATTAAGTCTCTCTAAACCTCTCCTTTCCCCGTGAGCCTACTCTGCTCTGACTGGTCAGATGGCCCAGTCTGTTGTGATTGGTCTACCGCGTACAGCAGCTATCGAAATTATTCGCCCATTGTCATAGTTCCGTATTTTGAACTCTCAATAGAAAATAGAAAATATTATTTATCATACTTTACAGGTTGTGATTCAGTGGAGCCAGCTGATTCAAATAAACTGGGTACTGAGCCATCTTTCAAGAGCGAGCATTTTGTAAATCACACTTTAAACTCCCCGAGATTAGATGTTACACACTGCATGAAAGACAAGGTTTGAAACGGCATAATAGGGGCACTTTAAAATGAGACCAGGCTTGTTTACATGAGCCTGACTTCAATTTTATTAAAACTACGGACATATTGACCTGCACAAAGCAACTCTTGAATATTTGGGCAAAAAAGACATTTACGCAAAGACCATTTATGACTTCTAGAAGTTATGCACACTTCTGTGATGAATAATAATGTAAGTATGCAAACAATGTTCATACAAATTCTAATGATGTTTTAGTGCACATATTGTATTTCATAGGTGTGTTCAGAAGCCAGCTGGTTTGTTAAAGGGGTCATATGATGTTGCTAAAAAGAACAGATTCGCCCATTGTCATAGTTCCGTATTTTGAACTCTCAATAGAAAATATAAACTATTATTTATCATACTTTACAGGTTGTGATTCAGTGGAGCCAGCTGATTCAAATAAACTGGGTACTGAGCCATCTTTCAAGAGCGAGCATTTTGTAAATCACACTTTAAACTCCCCGAGATTAGATGTTACACACTGCATGAAAGACAAGGTTTGAAACGGCATAATAGGGGCACTTTAAAATGAGACCAGGCTTGTTTACATGAGCCTGACTTCAATTTTATTAAAACTACGGACATATTGACCTGCACAAAGCAACTCTTGAATATTTGGGCAAAAAAGACATTTACGCAAAGACCATTTATGACTTCTAGAAGTTATGCACACTTCTGTGATGAATAATAATGTAAGTATGCAAACAATGTTCATACAAATTCTAATGATGTTTTAGTGCACATATTGTATTTCATAGGTGTGTTCAGAAGCCAGCTGGTTTGTTAAAGGGGTCATATGATGTTGCTAAAAAGAACATTATTTCGTGTATTTGGTGTAAGGAAATGTGTTTATGCGGTTTAAGGTTTAAAAAACACATTATTTTCCACATACTGTACATTATTGTTTCTCCTCTATGCCCCGCCTTTTTGAAACGTGTTGATTTTTACAAAGCTCATCGTTCTGAAAAGAAAGGTATGCTCTGATTGGCCAGCTATCCAGTGCGTTGTGATTGGCCGAATACCTCAAGCGTGTGACGGAAATGTTATGCCCCTCACCATACTGTTGATGTCCCGGCCGGAGCAATGAGACAAAAACATGAAAACCCATTATAAACGAGGCATTTGTTGCATCCAGTGGAGACATAATTACAGATTATAATGACTTATACTGTCTTTTTACGCATTGCGTTGCATCACGCCACGTAAACATAAAACCATGTCTGCATTTGCGATCGGAGAAATGACAAACAAGTGCTACTCTACACTGCTCAAAACTC